GGTGCAGACCCCTGGCAGCCAGGAGCCTCCACTACCGGTTCCTGACATTTGACCAACCAATTTCTGAAATAAATGAAAGATTATGTAATGTTGGATTTTTGTGCACGATAGATGATAGTTGTTCACCATCTATAGCAGTCCCAACTTAATTCAAATGCCCCATAAGAAACTAAAGATAAAATAAAATGAAGGGCATTATAGAAAAGCCTTTTTAAAAGATAAACATCTTTTTTGAACATAAACATCTTCAAAAAGTATCTGCTTAAAGAAATGGAAAATCAACTAGCAAGTGTTGTTGAAAAATAAGCATAGCATCTCCTATTGAAATTGTTAGATAATAAGTTCACATGCTTCAGAAATTAAGATATGCTACAAAATGCTTTAAAAAATCCAGCCTCAACTACTCTTCTCTCACCTTTTACAGGTCACTTTTGTTTCTTGGGCTTCCAGTTTTTACTGACATAAATATGAATTTATATGTTTATATAAGCATGTACACACATTCTGTTTCCTTCCTTCGTACCTAAAGGTGGTGTACAATGTACAGTAGGTCCCCAGATAACGTGGTTTCATTCAATGACTCATTATAAAGATGATAAAAATAATGGTGCTTCCCGCTCAGGCTCACTGTTTGAAGTTTGCACCTTTTCTGTTGTTACCATGACGTGGGCTTTCCCCAGGTGCTCTAGTTCCCTCCTTCATCACAAAGATGTGCAAGTTAGGGAAACCATTGTGTCTGAATTGTGCCAGTCCTAGAGCAAGGCGAGTGCGGGTGTGCATGTGATTTGCCTCTCGATGGAAGGACATCCCTCCAGGGTAGATCCTTGCCTGGAGTCTTGCACTGCCGTTTGGGTTTTAAACAGCCAGAACCTGAAATAAAATTTGTGGATCAGAAAATGAATTAATGCATACAAACAATGATTTAATATTACAAATATTTTGGGCCTTTAAAAAATTTTAACATATTTTTGCATGGGAGAACTGAGGGGAACAGCTGGTGAGACAGGAGTGTTCTGCTGCCCCAGGTGGGTCACCTCCCTGGTGGGGCTCTAACTCAGGCCATAGTGGGGATAGGCCTGAGACTTAACCCCTAGGTCACCAGGATGGTCCTATCTTTGTCCTTTGTTAGAAATGACCAAAACTGTTACTCGACTTAAATTTTATGTCAATTAAACCTCATTAACACTGGTTTCATTCTTACATTGTTTCACTGAAAGTTACAGTTTTCAGGAACTTAGTAAAGATGCTAAGTGAGGATGGATTGTATCTAATTCTGTACTTCTCACTTAATACATCCTAGTACTCTTTTTTTATATGTATATTAGGCCACTTAAAATGCACAATAGAATATTTTAAACAATCCGTTCCAGTATTTTGCATGAAAGTGTTGAAATACTTTTAGTATTTTATGCCATTTTGAATGTGGGTTTAGGTCACTTGGATAGGAATTACCAACTTGCCGAGCAGAGAAAACACC